AATGGGCCGACTCAATCGGAGTGATACCACGGCCTTACAGAAAACCGACGCAAACCACTTTCGCGTCGGTTTGTATTTGTACTCGTCATGTAAGTAAGATTGTCGGATACCCAGAAACCCCCTTCCCCAATGCCACCAATCCCTGAATCCCCAACAATCGTCAGATTCTAATCCCTAAAAGGCCGGTAACGCACTTGTAACGCCTTTGGTGTTCCAGGTGTCCATGGCCGACGCCGATTGCTTATCATCAAGTGATCTGTTTGCCCGTTTCCCGGCTGAGCACATAAAACAAAACAGAAAATAATAATTACCTCTATAACACCATTGAAAATCACACTCACAATCACAATATAAAATTCTGTAAAGTTGTTCAGAAATCGAACCCAAAACGTCACGATACACAATCTAAATTACAGGCACTTCACCACTGAAGCCCTAAGGCTATGGCTAACCATTGTTACATCAATTACTGGTTTTGAAATGTTAATTTATTTAAATGTGTTTGTTAGCTCAGAGAATGCTTATTTGTTTTTGTGTAAGAAAAACAAACCATTGTTCTGTCTAATTGAATTCGGGAAATGTGGCTTTGTATGGTTGTCCACGTACAATCTGTCTGCCCGGGGATTGGAGTCATTTCTGTAGTTTATTCTCGTTAAAAATGCAGTGAATCATCAGTGCAACTGTCAGATAAAGGCGTATTCACAAAGGTGTAAAATTCAAACACATTATAGGTATTTCAAAAGATTAAGTTTAATGAATTTGTAAAAATACACTTGATAAGTTTAAAATCAGTTTAGGAGACGGGACTCTCATCTCAAATGATATGGAAGGACGTATTACTATTTCATTTTAGATCAAAAAGCTAGATCTCAAAATATATTTGAACTGGGATACATCCCAGATCACTTATACTGTATCAAACTAGTTTTTCACAATTTTCTATTCCGACTCCAATAACTTTGAGAGTGGTTCTAATGTAAATTGAAGGTACTTTCAAAGACTCACAATATTACTTCATGTAGATATTTTGTTTTAGTTCATGTATTTCTTTGATAAGTTGAAATAAATCTTATCCTTCTATAATTAATAGGGATGATGACGTCCGCTAGTTAGGTGACGAAATTATATACTTTTTAATTTTGTCGTATAACAAAACAATCCTTACTAATATTATAAATCTGAAAGTGAGTTTGTTTGTTTGTTTGTTCCACCTTCACGCCGTAACTACTCAACCGATTGATTAGAATTTTTGCAGACGTCAAGTTAGAAGTCCGGATTAAATAATAGGGTACTTTTTAACCCGGAAAAATTTATATTCCCGAGGAAAAACAAAAGTATTGGTATAGATGGCGCTGTGTGTATAGGTATATGTCACATAGGCTACTCTTTATTCTTTTGTGACGCGAGCGAAGCCGCGGGTAAAAGCTAGTACTTAGATAAAACGCTTGTCAATTGTGTCTAAATAATCTGAGAAAGTACATAGGTGCATCGGAAAAATCACATTGATACTTCTTGTTGTTAGTAGGTTTCGAGCTCCCTCTCTCATGCATGAGAAGCGGGCATCTTAAACCTTTCAGCCACATTTAATACCTACCACAAAAAATACTACTTTATACCTACTTCTTTCTTTCTTTAACCCAGCCGTCACTAAGGACAGTCCGCGCGTCGGGGATCGCAAGACGATCTCCGGCCACCGTACGCCGATCACCGCCCGACCAGAACCAGACCCGAGCGTACGGTGCGTCGTGTTCTGCGCGCGCCTCAAAGAGCCATCAAACCTCTTAGAGCTGATGCCGATACGGAGTTGTGGAGAACGTAAAAGGATAAAGAGGCTCCAGCTCTAAGTTCAGGAGTAGGAACGGGGTGGTTTTTAGACAGTAATAGTCTTTTTTTTAATGAGGGAAAATCATCGAATGACTGCCCCCGCCTGGGTGAGGCGGGAGGGAGTGTCAGACTCTTACTGACTAAAAACCACCCCGTTCCTTCTCCTGCATGTCGAGCCGGAACCCCGGTGACCCGTTAGGTTCCCCGCGACTCCGAGCCATTAAGAGTCTGACACTTCCTCCCACCGCACCGAGGCGGGAGAAGTCCTTCGATGATTTTCCCCCTTTAATAAAAACACCTCTTTCATTATCTCAAATTCCCGTGTGACACAACATCTTTGGACCATAAAATTGGCTACACTAACGAACTTCGGTCCGAAGTTAAGTAAACTATAAGTAATTAGTTAGTTACTTATATTTTGTACAGAGACAAGATGAGCTAACTAGTGCCGTAGTAAGCCGTACTTAATGAACTTTTTCTTAACTTAATTATCTAACTTGGTTCTACTTTATTACAATGATGTGTAAGGAAAACGATTTCGTTTTCCTCCGATATTAAGTATCTTGACATCCAAATAAGGTATACACTATTTATAATACAGCTTTCGTGGGATATACTAAAATAATTATTGTGTTTTCAGCTTACTCACGTAACTGTTTGACGAGCAACTCGACTAGTTTCAAGCCATGCTAGAGGCTCATATTCACTCATGAGCAGCATTCCTCTTGAAACTAGTCGAGTTCCTCGTCAAATGATTACGCGAGTAAGCCGAAAAACATAATAAATAAGTTATACACTTATTCATGGTTATATTTATTTTAAAAAACAGGAACAATTCTAAGCTGAGCTCAATCGTCCTAAGAGGAGAGCTGAATCCATACAATCTCCGAATCCTCAATAATCTCCAAATTCCTAATCCCCAAAAGGCTGGTAACTCACTTGTTACACCTCTGGTGTTCCAGTTGTCCATAGGCGACGCCAATTGCTTACCATCAGGTGATCCGTCTGCTCATTTACCGGCTTATCCCATAAAACACTAACTAAAACGTAATGACCTATTATAATTTCAGTAACAATGGTTATTGACGGATGACAGAGACAGTACAGTTTATAAATTAATTCATGCACGGCCACGGTGCACGGCTAGTATCGTTCATTAACTTTTTAATCTTTCCTCCCACGATCCATGGAGCGATATTAAAAATTTTCCAGCGATATAATTTCATTACTTAAAGCCGATATTTTATATCATGTTTTGTTGGTAAAGGCTAATGGGGTCTTAAGTTGTAAGTTCGATTCGTAAATTGCTATTTACTTATTGTCTTTTTAAAAAAAAGAGCTAGACGACTTGGGTTCAAAGTTCAACCCCATTCTATAGGTTGGGATTTTTTTCAAAATCTTCTGCAAAGGTCTCTACATACTAATACATAATATTTATAAAAAACCCTCTCGAATCACTCCGTCTATTAATAAACCACATTAAAATCTCAGAAACTTTATATATATAATTATATGAAATATATAAACCCATTATATATTTATATTTTATATTACATATATATATATTTAATTATTTACATATTATATTTATGTTTCATATTAGTATGTAGTATTGGTATGTAGTTTATGTACTAGGATACCTTTATACATATGTACGTACATTTATCACCCTCGTTTTTATTTTATTTTTTTCGATAGATGAAAACTTCTTTTAAAACCTACTGTAACACTTCTCTGCATCACCCTATGGTTGGCTGGTAGAGAATGCCATTCGGCATTAAGTCCGCCATTGTATACAGTTGTACATAAAGTGTTAAATAAATAAATAAAATAAATAAAATTCATTGCGTACTTTTCAAGATCTAATCACACACAGGACTTTTTTTATGAGATACTCTGGTAAACGGGCAGACGGATCACCTGTTAGTAAGCAATCGGCGTCGCCCATGGACACCCGAAACACCAGAGGAGTTACAAGTGCGTTACCGGCCTTTTGGGGATTAGGAGTATGAGGATTGTGGGGGATTCGGGGATTGGGGAGACTGGGGAAGGAGGTAATTGGGCCTCCTGTAACCTTACTCACACGACGAAACACAACGCAGGCGTTGTTTCACGTCTGTTTTCTGTGAGGCCGTAGTATTACTCCGGTCGAGCCGGCCCATTCGTGCCGAAGCATGGCTCTCCCACACTTTAATCTTACAGCGGACAATGACTACTTACTGAGGAATAATTACCAAAGATAATATATTGCGAGTGGTTTGTTATTACAGCAGTTAGAACAATAAATTAATGCATTGCCTCGCGATACCATTGCATCGTAAACTAAACGTTTCTAATTGAAAACGAAGGAAATTTATTCACAAGAGCATTAGTCTAGTTTTTCATTTCTTTCCGTTTGTGGTATTTATGTTATGTTTGCAGTTTTATTTACAAAGAATGGGTTGGCTTGACAGGAGTGATACCACGGCCACACAGAACAGCGGCGTGAAACAACGCTTGTGTTGTGTTTCGCCATATGGATAAGGTTACTACAGGCCTAATATTCCCAAATCTCCAATCCTGTCGCGGAGAACCTAACGGGTAACCGGGGCTCCGGCTAGACGTGCAGGAGAAGGAACGGGGTGTTTTTTAGTCAGTAAGAGTCTGACACTCCCTTCCGCCTCACCCAGGTGGGAGCAGTCATTCGATGATTTTCGCCCCTTAAAAAAAAATCTCCAATACTAATATCCCCAAATCCCCAATCCTAATATCCCCAAATCCCCAATCCTAATATCATCAAATTTTCTCTAACTCTAAACAACGTACTTGTAACTCCTCTAGTGCTACGGGTATTAATGGGCGTCAGCTCATCTTTTCCTTTTTCATAAAATTTTTACTCCTAATATAGCTAGTCCTAAGAGAAACATGACGCAATAAAATATAATTATTTTCATCCTAACTAACAATGCTGAAGAGCCAAACAAAGTATTGATGCAGTAATAATTAATTTATAGACTGTGTGCGAAACTGGCCAGTACTTTAATTCACAAAGGAGTTACAAATATGATACCAACAGCCATATAGTAAAAACAAAACAATTTAATAAAATATTGGTTGGTTAGATATGAAAGTTTCGTTTGTGTCTATTTGCCACGATCTAATGGCTGAAGTGCATGTAGGAGCATTTCTGACTCCATTTTTTTTTTTTTTAAGGGGGAAAATCATTGAATGACTGCTCCCGCCTGGGTGAGGCGGAAGGGACTCTTACTGACTAAAAACCACCCCGTTCCTTCTCCTGCACGTCGAGCCGGAGCCCCGGTTACCCGTTAGGTTCTCCGCGACTCCGAATCGGCATCGGCCCTATTGGGCCTCATCTGTGGTGGTCTGATGGCTCTTTGAGGCGCGCGCGGAACGCGACGCGCCGTACGCTCGGGTCTGTTTCTGGTCGGACGGGGAGCCACCCATGCTCGCCGTCCGCAGGCCCATTTCTGACTCCATAGGGCGGTGCCGTAACAGGCGTTGCACCATGGGGGCTCCGGGGTTGGTCTACTAAGAGGACCCGGTGCCTCTTTTAGGTGCGGATGGTGACCACCGGGGAGGTTTTAGTGAGGTAAAAATCCCACACGCCCTAGTCTTTTTTTCCCCAAAAAAACTAGGCGCCTTTTGAAGGTTTCCCCCCGTCAACAAAAACAAAAAAAAGGAGCATTTCTGAAGGAATATATTGTACCATATCATTTCTTTTTTTTAAAAAAAAACATGCCCCACATTAGGATTTTCTCCTGTGTCGTGGGTGTGTTTACCACATAAAAGTTCATATACACAATGACTCCCAGATATCATGAAAAAGTGTTGCTATCTACACTACTATCGCCACGAGTGGTCGCATGTGCGACTGCCGGGCAAGGGGTCTCGGGTTCGATTCCCGGGTCGGGCAAAGTATTACTGGGTTTTAAAAAAAAATCTCAGTAATAGCACGGAGTCTGGAATTGTGCCCGGTATATGGCAATAGGCATACCCCCTAATACAAGGGGCTCATAACATAAATAGTGAAAAGGGGGTGTTACATTGTACAGTGTTATTGAATGCATGCACCTCTGCCTACCCCTTCGGGGATGAAAGGCGTGATATTATGTGAAACAACAAAGAATTTTACAATAATATTCTAGGTGCAACCTAGAACAAAGTATCCTACAGTTTCCGATACAAGCCTCGGGCGCCCATAAAACTTTCACGATCCATCAACGTGACTTTGTGTAGCCAGCATATAAAGCTATCCGGTCCCTACAATAGATTTTTAACTTTAACACAAAACGATAAAGACGTAAATCAAATAAAACTATCTGTCAGCGGTGGTTAACTTGATATGTTGGTGACTGGTTTTCTGCAACAGATTTTCGATTTTATTATAAAAGTATAAGGTAGGATATCTATTGGAGATTCGGAGTAAATTGAGGTGCAAGAACATCTGTCCACTAGAATACAAAGTGTATCGAATTGTAAAAGTTTGAAACTGATTCTTAGTTGCTAAAAAAGGATAGAAAATGGTAAAGTGAATTGTCGTAGCTCTGTCGTGTTATTTTAAACTAGCTACTTCCGCGCGGTTTCACACGCTCTGCTCAGCTCCTATTGGTCGTAGCGTGATCTTTTATAGCCTATAGCCATCCTCGATAAATGCGCTATCCAACATAAAAAGATTTATTCAAATCAGATTTGTAGTTACGGAGATTAGCGCGTTCAAACAAACAAATAAAAAAACAAACTACGTCCGCTTTATATTAATAGTATAAGAAGTATAAGATTAAAACAGAAGACTGACATTAACCCTTAGAGCGCCACGTCAGTCACCGGTGCCTGACGCTAGTGGAGGTTTGACTTTCACCATTTTAAACTTGGCAGTTAAAGTATTAAGTAGGTTTATTCATAAATTAGACTGGTGGCGCAGCTTTGGCGTGATTATTAGCAAAGTGTGTGGATGAAAAAGCGCGGCGCTCGCGCTAGATTTTTATACATATGAAAAGACTAATAACTGTTGATGAAGCGAAAGTGGTATGTAGAAATCGTAGTAATTGGCGTTCCATAGACTTTGCCTATCCCCATGGGAGAAAGGCGGGAAGTTATGTATGTATGTATGTATGTATTAAATTGTCAAACACCAAGCGGTCACCGGTGACCGCGACCTATTGTTCTTTAATTGTGTCTATAAAACCGGTACTCGACGAGTTAAACATGATACTGATGATAGATCAGCCAACCCTATTATCCCTGATGATACCGTTGGCAACTCTATTAGTGATGATGGTCATACCGTCAATCAAATTTGCCTGTAATCAGCGCTGGAATCACATATCATAATCCTGTTTCGATGTTCATTACTGACCTATGACGTGTTAGGTCAGTTACGTCATTAGGTAGGTCACGTAGGTCTTATTGTGAAACATTTATGTAACATTGATTTTGGTGAAGTCACATTTCCTGATTACATAGACAACAGATTTAAGCCCTGGTCTTATGGCACAAGATATGTTTTTAACTGACTTCAAAGAAAAGAAAGGAAGAAAAAAAAACATTTATTTGGCAATTACCACACAAAACAAAGATCTGAGAACAAAGAAACAAAGTATCTGTATTTTCATGTTTATAAAACATGAAAATACAGATACTTTATGTGATAAATACAGATACATAACAAATATTAATTATAAACTTAAAACATCACAGTATAACTAAAGAATGTATAATACAATAATAAAAGAAATTAAATATACAAAAAATAAAAATAATAAATAATAATATTAAAGAGCGGGGCCTCCACCTCAGCATATAGTTGGACGTTTCAGCCCAACGATGGTTTTCAGGTGGCACCCTGCAGTGACTCACGGACGGCGGTACCGCCCCTCAAAAAGGAAAGAATAAAGAAATTATGTAAATAATATAAATTCTGCAGAATTCTGCAAAAGGAGGTTTTCAGTTGACCTGTATGTATGTATGTATTTAGGTATGTATGTACCTATGTATGTATGTATGTATGTTTGCGGCGATTATCTCGCGTTTCGCTAAACCAATTTCAATGGTTACTGGAGGTACTGGCGCCGTGATAAGTTACAACTGCGTAAGAACCAACAATTCAAAATAATGGTAATAAATTTAAATTAAGTACATTTTTTTTGAAAACAGGATTCAAACTTCAGCTCAATTGGTTAAAGATACCTGCTTCAAGGTTGCAAGATTCCACTTCACAAATATACCTATATTTATACATACAACAACGTCATACATATAGGTACAAACAATTGGGTACTTTTCTTAATCAAAAATAAATTATTTCGACTTTTCAATACAATAAAATATTAAAAAAATAATCACACTTTCATTAATTGATTTTATGACCAACTTAATTTCAGTATTTTTCCAGCAATTTTTTCAGAATTAACTACGCTGTTTGACGCTAAAAGAACGTGACGTCACAATACACAATCTCGTACAAAATTCATAGAAAACTGTCGTTTTTGACAGTTCGAAAAAAGTATTATATTTGAGTAGTTGTCAAATACCGTATTTGTATTATAACTTTCATGAGACATACTAAATAAATTATTATGTTTTTCGGCTTACTCACGTAATTATTTGACGAGGAACTCGACTAGTTTCAAGCTATGCTAGAGGCTCACATTCATAAGCAACATTTCGCGACCTACGTCGCGCTGCTACTGTCAAGTTCTTCGTCAAATAATTACGTGAGTAAGCCGAAAACATAATAATTTAAATACCGCATTATTGCAAATAAAAAATAAATGTTTGTAAAAAATATAATATACCTACTAACATCAAAAACGAATTGTACGAACATGATCACAATTTTTTCCATTTCGAGTTACAAAACAATCGTGTATCCAATACTATAGCGGGTTCCTAAATAAAAGTGTCGCACTGCAGTGTCAAACGGTCAGCGATTCCCATTTTACGAGCGGGCCCCTAGTCGGCGAGGGACCCTTTCGTTATCTTCTTTTTGTATGTATATGGTTCTGACAAACCATGAAGGAAAACATCGTGAGGAAACCTGGGCTTACAATTTCTAATTATAAGTTTGAAATTGCCAACCTGCAATGAGCAAGCTCGGTGATTAATGCTCAAACCTTCTTCGTGTAAGAAGACGCCTTTGATCAGCAGTCCCCACAGTTGCCAGGCCATTGTAGGCTGGTGATGTGATGATGATTGTGATTTATTATGGATAGATTGACTGACAGACAATTCCTAATTATAAGTTTTTATTAATCACTAAATTGTTATCTGCAAAACAATAAAATATATCTATCTAGCCTCGTTGGCCCAGTGGTTGCAAGTGCGACTGCCGGGGCAAGGAGTTCGATACCCGAGTTGGACAAAGTACTACTGGGTTTTTTTTTAATTCTCAGTACTAGCACAGAGTCTGCAATTGTGCCGAGTATATGGCAATTGCCTCACCTCCTATTACATGGGACTCATAACATAAATAGTGAAAGGTGGGTGTTACGCTGTACAGTGGCGCTAAGTGCCGTAATGTGCACCTCTGCCTACTCCTTCGGGGATAAAAGGCGTGATGTCATGTTCTGACTATATAGACATTTTTTAACGGGGAAGGTCATCGAATGACTACTCCCGCCTGGGTGAGGCGAGAGGGAGTGTCAGGCTTTTACTGACTAAAAACCACCCCGTTCCTACACCTGCACTTCGAGCCGGAGCCCCGGTAACCCGTTAGGTTCTCCGCGACAAATATGCATACCCTGTCATCATCCCTATTATGTTATTTTCTTCAATCTATTCTATTTTAATAGTTCAGTATATAAACACATGTCTGTCTATGTTCTCAGGAAACAACTGTCATAACTATATTTCGTAAACATACTAATTCCCATTTAAAACAAATTTAATGTAGGTACTGAGATCATAATAATATTAGCACAAGATCTCTCAACAGAAGATTGGCAGTTAATTACAAATTTAATAAACTACTGACTCCAAATATGTAAACATGGTAACAATTTACAAACAACAGCATATAAAACTACCCTTTTATTGCTGCAATCAATTTTCAACCTTCACTAGGTTATAATACAGTTGGAAATCAATTGTGTATCGATGGAGTCGGTCACAAACACATAGCACACCAAGTAAACCTTATTTTACTCCAATAATCAAATATCGACCTTATAACATGTCGGAATAGAGTT